ATTTTCCAATGCACATTTTAAAAGCAGCTCAATATTAAGGAAACCGTCAGTCAAACGTTTTGATTGCCAAAAAAAAAAAATAAAAAACTATCCTCTGCCACCTAAGGCAAGTATCACACCATTTTTTTTTTCTTGTTGGTGTGCATCCCGAGATCAATGTCTATGCAAGTTTGGTTTGTAAGGACATATTAACTTGGGAGTGGACCTGATCCAAAAAAAACTTAAATATATTTACTCGTCTGGAAAATGTAAGTCAATAATAAATTTCTAGAGCAGTAGTAACGATAATTTCTGTACTAACATTAAGTAAAGTTTCCCCTAGGAATACTTGCTGTATAGCTTTCCTGCCGGAAATTTTACTATTGGTTATTTTCCCTCGGGGAAAGTTTATAATATTGTCAACATTCCCTCATGAATAGAAAATCAGCCCCGAATTTTTTGCTTTAAAGTAAACGTTTCCACTTAACCCCATTATAACTCATAATTCAGAATCAAGTATATTTACCGTGTTTATTTTGATTTTTGATGATAAAACGAAAGAAATGCTACGCTATGTAAAAAAAAAAAACTTCCCCCATGAAGGGAGAGTTATTAATGTAGAATCTACGTTATATTATATCATTTTCGCCAGGTCTGAGGGAATATGCTACTATCTTATCTGAACTAAAGAAACTGTGATAATGTGAAGGGGAAGTAACTACATTGAAAAAATGCAAACTTGCTAAGAAATCTTTAGTTCTCAACAGAAAAATACAATATCTTGATAATATGTCGCGTGAGTCATAGATATGGTTCAAACTGTGTTTACATAGTATCTATTATGAAATTTATGTGTATTCACATTTTATACCTAATATTCAAATAATTTTTAATTATTTTTACATATCTTTGATAGTTGATGTATAAAAATATTTACCTGAATTATTCATTTTTAATTAAATTCTACATTATTTGATACATATTTGTGTAGTAAATATGAAAGTAACCCAAAATAGTCATATAGTTATTGAATCTTGTGTAAGTGAAAAAAGGTCAACAGAAATGGTTACAAGTAAAAATACCACATATTTTGTTAGTTTGCAATGAAAGATTTATATTTTACTCACTTTTCATAATCATAAGTGTATGTTCATCATCATATATAAGATTGCAAACCCTATGACAACGTTTAAAATTTTTTTAAGATACGGGGTTTAGATTGACTCAAAATTGAGCGCATTTGCTTTTATTTCGTGCTATGTGGGCTAATACTTTTATGTCACTTTGAAAAAAAGAATTTATTTTTGAGTAAATTTGCTGACTATTTTGCAATTAATAAAATAGTAAACGATAATATTTGAAAAAGTATTTTTGTTATTTTCTGTTTAGTCCCACTTAAGATGGCTGAAAATGTCTATTCGCCGTGTATTGATTATCGTTCCAAGTGGCAAAGGCTGCAGATCATTCATTAACTAGAAAAAGTGCCTTTTAATTTTAAATGATTAATAAGTGAGTGTTAATTAACGATTTTGAAAGGACATACTTTCTTCTTTGATAGGTTCATTTTTCGGGGGATATTTTACTATGGAAGAATATTTACTTTATGACACCGGATCTACAATGTAACTTGTGTGTACGAGGGGTGATCAAAAAGTTCGCGAACTCTCTCTATCTTTACAAAATCACAGTTCAGATCAGAATGAAATTTGGCACACAAATAGTCATAAACATGTTCTATCAATAGCAGATGTTACGTAATGTTTGGTCCATATTTTTGACGTCACAATGTGAAAATGACGTCAATATGTAAGTGACTTATGACGAAAAATGGACGAGTCAGTCTCACTTAAGCAAGGAACGGCTGTAAAAATTAGCGTTAATCTTGGAAATTCCTTTGCAGTGGCATATAATAATTTGCACAGGGTTTATGAAGACAAAGGACTTGCAAGAAGTTCAATCATTAATTGGATTGATTGTTTTAGTGATGGAAGGGAGATGGTTAAAAATGCTGTTTGTTCTGGTGCCCATTGAAAGTATGCTGGGAAAGAGATGTGTCCTTAGTTGAGCAATCTGTTATGAAAGATCGTCAATATACAGTTAGAAAAATAGTTGAATATCTTAACAATAAAATAATGATTAAATCCCTAAAATATCATTTACTTCAGATTTTAAGCATATCATATATGATAAAGAGAACGCGCCTATACTTGATTCACATTTGAAAAACGACGCATCTAAGACAGAAGAGTTGGGTTGTGATGTTCACCATGCTAATTCTGGTGAAAGATATCCTTATCCACCCATCCAATTGCAGAGATTTGGTCATTTGTGACAAATGGACTATTCCAGTTATAAAAAATAACATGCATAGTAATAATTATAAGACTCGGAAAAATCTTTTAGCTGCTGTGAAGAGAACGCTACGGAACATGTCACGTGACCGCCTGGACCACGTGTTTCGCGCATGGGCAGAACGGTGGGGACTACTTTAAAAAATAATACACACTGAAACCTAATTTTATTTTTCTTTTATGGAAGTAATTCAATTAGTTCGCAAACTTTTTGATCACCCCTCGTATGTTTCTCGGATAAACGACAATGGTTAACATAAGAAATATAGATAAAGAAAAGATTCAGTGGATGTGAATATAAGATTTGAAGCATAAATTTTATCAAAACTTTATCTAACATAGTACATGCATCTCTATGAAATATTTCCTACCATTTCCTATTAGATATTAAACACCAAAGCATCCCCATTTAGTGCAAATTGAAGTTTGTTCAAATCGTGACTTTTTGGGTAAAGTGAATAATAGTTTAACAAAAGAGATCTGTGATCTAAAAAGATTACTACACAACCTTGTGCCAGAAAAAATTAAACTTATATGACCACTGACATAGTGTAGACTCAAATTTGTTCACACCCTGCCCCTTGGGTAGGATGCAGCCAAAATTCACTTGAAAATATGTAGAAAAAATGTTTAATTTTTTTTCTCAAGAACCACTAGGCCAGAAAAGAGGAAACTTATATGAAAGCTTTCTGACAAAGTGTATATTAAAGTTTGAGCAAATTATTTTCACAGGGGATAGGATTTACTTCTGCTTGGAAAATATTTTATTACTTTTCTGATAACAGATACAGGGTGACTCAGGTGAGTGTTGTGGGCCATGAGTCTCCTCTTTATAGTAACTTCTTTATTCTTTGCACTGGCAAAATTTTCTACCTTAGGACTATGTGGAAAACAGGATTTTTTCAGTCTTTCGGTTCAATTGACGGATTCCCATTTTCAACATTTTTTTTCCGCTTGTTACATATATTCAGTAATTACCAATATTTGCCCCCAAATCAAACCTTGAAGGAAAAATCTATAATTACGTTCTAAACCAAGGGGGTATCTGCTTCAAAGCATTAAATATTTTCATCCGCCATGACGCCGTATCTTAGATATGACGACAGGAGAGTGACGTAATGAAAAAAATCCCATTATTTATAGAGAATTTTTTTTATCTAAAATTACCAAGCGCAGGTCTGCTCCAATTCAGTGTTTTGATATGATGTGTAGAATGATGATATCAATGATATTGATGTATAAAAGTAGTGTAGATTCACATTTATGCAAATTATGACCCCTGAGGGTAGGGTGTGGCCACAATGGGCAACTAAGTTTTACAAAGAAATATTTAGTTTAAAAATATTCTCAAGAAATCAAAGTCATGTTTAGTCATATCAATATGGAGGAATCTTAGTTATATTACAAAATAATTCTTGTGTTCAAAGGGCATAACATTTAAACATACGCATTTACATGTATTTTCTACTTGTAAAACAATGCAGACCAAACTGTTGCCTTTTGTTTCAAAAATATGACTCACGCAATCTTTTAAACTTTTAAGGCAATGTTAAAATGACCTACTTCATCGTCACATTAACTTTTTGAATAAAGTATGAGCTTATTAATTTCTGTTTACTAAGTTTATATAGAAAATGATCTCATCGTGTTCACTGCTTTCTTAATTATTGCCCAAGGTAAAATAAACACTTTTCTTCCAAATGAACTTGACATAAATCAATTGGCACTTCAGTTGTATCGTAAATCATATATAAATGTAACACATAAAATCAATTGATTTCATGGCATATGATCAGACAATAATCAGACAATATTATGCAATGAGAATAGAATTTTAATTTGGAAACTATTGACACAAAATCAATATGTTTCAATAATTTTTTTTAGTTTGAACGTGTATAGTTTCTTCTGAATTGGGTTCATTGGTATTCGCTTGTCAATTAGTAAAACACATGATAAATTGATACCCTCCTTAGGGACCATTAAGCTATAATACATGAATTTAAAAATTTGGTTTAAAAACTCATTGCTTATGATTTGTCTTCCTTTCTAGCAGTCAAGGACTAATTATGAAATCCCGTCAAGGTAATAATTTTGATATATGAGCATTTTTTTCTAAGCTTGAACCTATTAATTGCTCAAATTAATTGTTAAAAATTTTCCCTTTTCTGCAAAAGAATAGAAGAACAAATTTCAAGACAACGTTTATTTTCAAATCAGGTTCAACTCGTACACCTTACGGCACTAGCCCTTGTCCAATAGTTATACAGAAGAAGCAGAACATCTATTCTTACATCATTAAAGCAATATAAGCTGCAACTTTGATGTTGGAAATTTTTGTTGCAAAATTGTAATTAACTATTTCAATGACAAAAAAGAACGTTTATAAACCTCTATTGTTCGTAAAAAACTATTATAAGCTTTGATTGAAGCAAAATTACATTATTGTCGTCCTGTACAATATTGATTTCTTATATTCCATTGTACAGAAATCTTTCTTCTGAAAAAGGATTTAATATGTTATTTTAGTCTGATCACTAAAGTTTAAATTACATACAGACTTGTCATAATAGCATATTTTAACAGCAAAGTAAAATTCTCAAAATTGCAGCTCATATTGCTTTAAACAAACAAATTGGAATTTACAGCAAAAACTGAATGTAACACAGGTGATAATCTTTAAACCAGTTTATAAAATGCAATTTTAAATGTTAAAGAGGCTGGGGGGTTGTGGCCATTTTTAGACTATATTGATCTCCTTTAGAAGAAGAGCTCCATATGAAGATACAGACAATGATCAAATTTTAAAACTAAAATTTTTGAAATTTTTCTTTGCCAAATGATAGTCGACAGCTTAAGAAAAAAATTAAGTTAAATCTGGTGGTTAATTTGTGGTTAATTTGTTGACCCCCCAGCCTCCTTAATATGACTTGTTTAATCATAAAGCCCATAAATACATGTTGACATCAAAAAGAGAGATAATATAAATTGAAAATTACGAACAATTGTTTTCACCAGACAATCAAATTCTTTAATAATGAAATATGAAGATAACGAACAGTATTCAATTTCGAAAGTCCAAAGAAACGATACAAATTTGGAGCACAGCAAACACGGACCTCAAAATTTAGAGGTGGAATCAGGTGCCATGGAGGAGTGAGTATCCCCTGCCGATCGGACACACCCGCCGTGTGCTCCTTGTCATGATCGGGAAAAAAACCCGGAAAAATCCGTAGACATTTAAGTGAATAAATAATGGCCAAACAATTAGTATGAAAAACGTCAGTCAGCATTTGACTCAATGATAGGTTGTATGTGCTGACAAGATCATTGTATCGACCATAAAACTTACGAAATGATGACTTCAAACGAGACTGTTGATATCCTTGTTTCATCAACTTGTTTGTCAATAGCTTGCCTCGTTTTAGAAATTGATACGTAGAGCATGCTCTTGCGTATCGAATCAACTGAGAGAATAAACCCCATATGGATTTGATAAGGGTATATCTATGCTTCTAATTATTTATTTTAACAATGGCAAACTTCTACTAATTTTCTCCTAGTTCTGAAAGTGTCACAATCAAAAACAGAGATCAATGTAAAATCAGAATGTACAGGAAAAAGATAGAAAACTTTAAAGTATTATAATCATTTTCCCTGTTTTTTCCCGTGTTATATTTAAATCAAAAGCATAAGATATACATTGGAATTTGACGCAACGCATTACAGAGCCAATATGACATCGGATTTTATTCTTTATTTATGAATTTAAATGACATAGTCTTAGAACAAAAAGTATTGCTGTTTCAATTCCCGTTTTCCATTTTTCTTATCAAGTGAAATAAGAATGTTCTCAGGAGTCTTCATGCGAGGAGAAATTTCTCTGTTGATTGTCTGTCCAAAAAGTGTTGAAAATTCGTTGCCACCCTCCATTGATGTAGCTGTGAATTCCTTTGAAAAAATATGACATTTGAATAGTGTTTTGTAAAAGAAAATGTTTTTCCTTTAAACATTTTATATACTAAAGGGTGAAAGAATTCTAAAAAAAAAATTGGTAAAATAACAGAAGTAAGAATGAGAACTTTTGTTATTGTTTGCTGCATTATGGAGTTGAGGGCATCTAGTAAGCAGGTACACATAAAGTAAACACAGTATTTTGCAAGACGGCGAACATACCTGAACAATGCCAATGTTCAATATTTACATTTGCAAACATTTTCCTAAGATGAACTTATTAAAGACAAAATATGTGATCAATTCTGTTAGGGGGTCAGAAGTCATAGCGTGACCGAATCACACAGCGAGATGGTATCTAACCTACCAATTTCCGTCACGGTGAAACTGGTTTCCGAACTTCCGAGAGATAAATAATTGAAACATATGAATTTTTTTCCAATCAATTTATTTCCTTATGATCTTCCTTCGATGTGAAGAATGGATTTAATAATAGTATAAATAGTATAATATTGATTAATAATATTAAAAATCGCGCATACCTTTTTAACCCGAAATTCCTTGAAGGTTTGTAAACCGAAACAGACAATACCAACGCTTTTGACCTCACATATATATAGAGAACTCATAAAAATAGTAAGATTATTCTCCATATCAATCTTTGTTCTATCATTATAAAGAGATATTTCCTGAACTTCATTCCTACACATCAATGTAAACATTCAAATGTTGGAGCTAGGCTAACTTTTATGACCAAATAACGTCAAAACACGCAAGACAAGTGACGCGGCAGGCCTTTCGTGTGATAATTCATTGTCGGTAACCGGTAGCACATTTATAATTAGTGATTATAATTTTTTTTCATTTGGATTCTCCCAGCCATCTGCAAGAACATTCGCGGATAAAATTTATCATTTTTTCTTTGTTTTCATGGCTAGGATGGCCATTTTGAATCTTTTATGCACAACTTACGTTGCTGGTTACGTTTAGGAAAATTGTCATTAATTTTTTAATTAACGTAAAGGTCAAGCAACAACAATATGTCGACCAACTTCGTTCGGGATGACAAAGTAATAATAAAATATGTTTCGCAGAAGCAATCAAATACCGGTAGTAGAGCAAACAGCTTATTATCAAAACGTCAAGCTGTCTGTTATTGTTTATAATGGTACGGTAACCATTCCATGTATCATCGATGTCAAATGTAGAGAACTGAACATTTTCTTCCACTCTATACCAAGAAGTAGCATATCTAATATTTAAGCATTCCATTTCATAGCACTATCTTTGAGATTTCAGGTTCCAACGAACAACTTACAAACCCCTATACTGTACCTCTTTTGCTTGGAAATCATTAAAAACCTCCCGTATTAGTTTTAATATGTTTGGAGCATCGATTTGGGCAAACTTTCGGGCTTTCAATCGGATTTCTATAAAAATAAAAGAAGTAGAAAAATATAAGAAGTGGGAAAATTAAATTTATAAAATTATGAGAACCAGTATATACATAAGGGAATAGAATACAGAATTAATTATACATTAGAAAAACTCTTCTGTTAAATTGATACATTGAGGGGTTATTCAGGCCTATGTGTTACTTCAATATATATCTAATTTTATCGTACCTCATGCTTCATACATTTGACCAATAGCAATTATGTTATTGAAGTGTACTAAGTTTCATGAGGCTAAAGCAGCAGGAACGAATATAGCATTTTGAAAGATCTTGCTGGATTATTCTATTATTAGTTATCATCACCGTTCACAATCATACGGAAGCCGGTTGGTGCCAGGTAGAAAAAATATTTTATCTGGCGGCCGCCAGATAACTTTCTGGCAGCCGCCACATAAATAACTGGCGGCCGCCAGAAACTTATCTGGCGGCCGCCAAATAATTTTCTGGCGGCCGCCAGATAAAAAGATCTGGCGGCCGCCAGATAACTTATCTGGCGGCCGCCAGAAAGTTATTTGGCGGCCGCCAAATAATTATCTGGCGGCCGCCAGAAATTATGTGGCGGCCGCCAGATAAAATATTTTTCTACCTGGCACCTACCGGCTTCCGTACAATCACACCTTTTCGGGCCTTTCCGGAAAGTTCAGAAACACATCGAATGTATTTAAATTACCAGATGTTAAAATTTTATACAAAATGGAGTCGCTTCCTTTTCATTAAAAGTATTGGAAAGACAGAGTTGAATATCCCTTCTGTAGTATATTTTAGGTTATATCTTTACATTCAATGAACGGAAGCTTAATTCTTTGCAGATAAGAGGTCCCCCTACATTTATATTTCAATGTTTATGAAAAGGGGAGATGTCATGGACGCCTATGGAACACATTCGAGTTTGTTTTTCCACTTGTCGGAAAGGCACAAGAAGTTGCCCTTGCACTGTTAATTGAAGTTAAAAGAAAAATTAAAAAATAATCTATCCTAATGTAGTTCCTTTTTTGTCCTAAATGTTGTCTAAATTAAACTGAAAGTGTAGAAGACGCATCTTTTCGAAAGAATTTGAGATAAGATTCTACTTTTCTTGAAGCTACATTTGGCGTATCTGAGCTAAAAAAAAAAATAATACGAATTTGAGTGCAGATATTTATTATATATGTACGTTAAAATCAAATTTTCACCGATTTTGAACTTGGATAACCTCAAGTTTCTACCGTTAAAATGACTTTAAACTTTGCTGTACTTGTGTTGAATATTGATTAAATCCGCCACGCGCATGACTGCGGGAAAATACGGCATTAAAGCCCTGATGGAAGAAGATAAGCATATTTGGGAAGTAAACTATTACATATGTTACTATGAAAACAAAGTATTCAAAAGTTATAATGTTATTTATTCATTTCTTTAAAGTCATACACTTAAAATTAAAATGAAATGCAACCAAATAAAAGAGAATAATTCTTGTGATATATACAAAGAACAAAATGTGATATTTCGCATTTGTTGGCAATGGATGCCGTGGTTTAAATACTGCAAATTATATTTCAAGTTTACTTGCTGTGTATATTCTGATAAGTTTTTAAAAGTATATTTCTGTATAATTGAATATAAATTTTAAAGGTACAGGTGTAGTTCGAATTTTCACTTTTCAAAAAATCAATTGAACTCTTTAAATAGAGCATTGCTATGGAAATTAGCGGAAAATATGTTTAAAAAGCTGAAAATTATTTTGTTTTCTTGGATATGTAACCTTTTATACAGATTCCCGAAACTTTTATGATTGATATTTATGAACTAACCTGACTTTTAATTTTTACTACGTGGATGCAAAAAGCTGCGACATAGGGTTTTAATATTGCTATAAAGTTAACAGAATCGAACTTTTCCCCTTCTTGATAACCAAAGCAAAAGTGTTATTTTCCCCATCAAACTTTATCAATAAATGATATTCTACTTTAGTTCTATCAGATAAGTACTATGCAAGGTGAATAGTACCGGTATTTCCAATACCTCATTACTTGAGGTAAAAAAATTTAATGTTTTTGGGGATTTTGTTTTATTTGTTTTATCTCTCTCTCTATATATATATATATTTTGTTTTGTTTTGTTTTTTGAGTTGTAGATTGAGTTTGATCATGTAACACCTATCATTAGTAAATATTGAGCGTTTTTTCAACATTTAAAATGTATTCCAAATGTACATGTGTATCCATGGTTACAACTTAGAGATATATTCTAAATAGTTTCTTTTTAGCATAAGTGACAACAAAGTGTTAAGATTTTGTGAGAATAGTTTGTTTCTCAAAGTCTTTATTAAGGCTCATTCTACTACGGTTATTGCCGAGATCAAAGAAATGCCGCGGACATTATTCTCCAATAAATCACGAACGTCATCAAAAAATTATCAGATCAGAAACACATGTCAAATCTGTACAGTTGAAATAAATATTTCACTGTATAATCTAATACTTATTTAGACCACATCGATGTGTCGTCTTACGCAGTCTAAACGTGTGTATTGCCTGAAACAGCTGATAAATATCCATTTTTATAGCCAAATGGGGCTGTTCTACGGACCTCCCCACAACATTTACACTCCCGTGATTTTACTGATAAATCAATGAAAAAGACAACTGATTTTGTTATTTTTCATTCATAAAAATTAATCAATCTATGTTACAAGCAAATTTATAAATAATTAAAGGATATTTTTAATCCAACAAAAGTTAAAATCGTCTGCATTTTATGCAATCGATTGACCCTCTGGTGTTAAATGGAACAGCGGAATTGCGACATGGTGACCTAATTCGTTTCTCTTTAGATTGATTGATTGTATGTTGTTTTACGTCCCATTCGAGAATTTTTCACTCATATAGAGACGTCACCATATACCGGTGAAGGGCTTCAAATTTTGACCTTTACTCGGCACGCAGGGCCATTGAGCAGTGAGGGATCTTTATCGTGCCAACGCCTGCCGTGACACGGGGCCTCGGTTTTTAAGGTCTCATCCGAAAGACCCGCAACTTTCACTTCAAAGTGCCGAGCGCATGGCGAAGGAACAGTTGCTACCCATTTTATCGACTTGGGTCTGTCGCGGCCGAGATTCGAACTCACGACCTCCCGATCACGGAGCGAGCGGGAGGTCGTGAGTTCGAATCTCGGCCGCGACAGACCCAAGTCGATAAAATGGGTAGAAAACGATCAACTGTATTTTAGAGCCGTTAGTAGAATAGAAATAAAGTCCTTGTTGTCGTGAATGATGCAGGATAACCTCCTCGGTCTCGAAATGTTGTCTGAAATATAAAAGCCTCGGCTAACGCCTCGGCTTTTATATTTCAGACAACATTTCTCGACCTCGGAGGTTATCCTGCAACATTCACGATAACGTGGACTTTATTTCTTAAATAACGATTAAAAAAAGCTGAATATCTAAAATTTTTCCCGTCTGTTACCGTGTCAACCAATACAAATAGCAATCATATCATATTTACTCAAATTCGTATTATTATTTATTTTTTTTTTTTTAGCTCAGATACGCCATCTTTATATAAAGTAATGTAACAAATAGAAAAATCTTTTTTTTTTTTTTTTTTTTTTTTTTTTTTAAATTTTGATTATCTGAACTTTTCAAACATACGCAATATATAGCTTTGAAAATTTTGTTGCATGGTAAAATTTTTAAAATCCAACAAAAATCAATAGATGTTTCACTGTTAAACTAAAATATTTATAAGTTAATGCAAAAGTCTTCCTTTTATCAAGCACGGCCATCAACCCGGGAGTATACTTGTTATTAAGTCTAATGCAATTTAAAAGACATAAATTTGATGAATTTGGTAGAAATGTTTAAAAATCATAGATGATATTCCCCCCTCGCTATGATAGAAAACAGAATACTTCGTACTTCGTATAATAACCCCCCCCCCCCCCCCCCAATAAATTACAATATGAAAGTCGTTAATCTACTTACTCTCTCTATCTTGTGGTTCTTCAAAATGTTTTTCTTTTATGACAACGCCAAGAATATCCCGCAGAGACTTCTTCAGCATGTCAAAAATTCCATAGATATCCCCCATTCGTGCAGTCTCTTGACGAACGTTGGAAATGCTTGTATTTAGAATGGCGGCAAATACAGTAATGAGAGTAAATATAACAAATAAGATGTAGGTAAAATAGTACACCTGTGCAAAGTATCGTGAAGCAAGAGACATGCGCTGAAGAGAGTTCTTTCCTATGAGGGCATTTGTAAGTGTTGTCAAGGCCTGAAACATGCTGCGATATTCCATTAAATTCCTTCCAAACAAAAGATATCCGCATATAACGAAGCCTGAATATATGATTGCAAACACAATCCCAAAACTGATTAACTCATTCGCTGCCCCCGTTATTACAGATATGATTTCAGTGAATTTTTTATTGTATCCCATTATCCTTATAATTCTCAGAGTGGCAGTGAATACCAGCACTGCTACAACTACGTTATATGTCTGGTCCCAGATGACAATGTGATTAAAATTTACAAATCGGTCTTCACCATAATTTCCCAAATCATCATAAAATATGTTCATAGCCTTATTGGCGTATGATATTCTTGTTACAAATGCTCCTATCGCAAAGTATCCAAGTACCAAACAAATTGAATCAACAATATTCCATGTCATCTTTAGAAAAAGGCAAATGCCATCCTTTCGAATGACCCTCACTGTCTTAACAGTAAGCGCAATCTGATAGATAATGAAGATCATGTAACATGCTAGAGAATATGTCCCTAAACTCCCCAAAGAAAGAAGCGGTCGGAAAGGTCTTATTTCAACCCAGTTAAACACTCCACCTGTTTCAGTTGTTTCGCTGATAAAGGTAATATAAGTAAACAAATGAGTGTTTCCATTGTATAAAGTAAACTCAACCAAGATGGCTCTTGTGCCCCTGTCAATCCAATTATGTTTTTTGATCTCATCCATCATTAGTTTTGCTGTTTCAAGGTTTTTAGTAAATTTAAGGATGTATCCTCCCCCACCATACGTAGCATATTCTCCCCTGTAAGGAGATCCCCATATATCACTGGATTTTATGAATTTCCAAGCATCTGCAGTGATTTTAGTATTCTTGTAAGCTGGTGTCTCACATATTGAGGCGTTATATGTGGTCCATCCAACACAGTATTTGTTTTCGTCTTCCTCAAATTCGTCATATTCGTCAACACAAAAGTTGGGCCAAGTCAGCTTATAGTAATCACATTCAACTAAAGAAAAATAAAACGTTAATGTCGCTTGGCCCGATTGAGACTCATATTTTTCTTACACAATAAAGGTAGATGCATACATAAAATATGTATAAAAATTAATAATGCGACAGGTTTTTTTTTCAGTTAACAAAAATATTTATCAGAGAAATCTCAGTAAAAAAAAACATAAACTGACAAAACAAACATGCTATGGATATTTAAATGTGTAAAACCCAGTGACTTCCAAACGCTAAACAAACCTAGGGTGAAAATACCGTTTGACATAATTTTTATCATGTTCTGATTTGCAGTTGATACCCGTAGGTACTCCCCTGTGTGCTTTTCGATATAAATACATTGCTCTTGGTCTTTTTTTAATTCTATATTTCTTTTTCTTTTTTTTACGCCGGGTCAATAAGAGTTAATTTGAACAACCACATGTTCGTCTTACTTCCATCGTACGATATGCCAACAAAGCCACTGTACATGCGCAAACTTTGCATTTTTTCTATTTTGTGTATGACATATAAAAAAATTACTTTTTCAAAATTTAATATAGTATCTTTTAAAAGGAACACACTCCGAGAATATTATTTTTTGACGAACAACCAGAAATATGTTGATTTTTTAGAATGAAATTTGACCTTTGAGATTTACTTTATTGGTATACTGTACCTTTCTTCATTCTGACTTGCCGAATCCGACCAGGTCCAACTCTTATATTAGCCATGTCCCCAAACCACATTTTATCAACAGAATTCAAAGTCATATTTGCATAATTCCTTGTGGGATAGTAAATAGGGATAAAAACTTTATCCATCCACGTATAAAAATCTTCTGTTTTGTTCATCTAATAAAGATAAGGAGAGAACTCACTGAATACTCCAAACTCTAATATATATTTAAAACAGCAGGAGAAAAAAGTTTCTCGGACACAAATATATTATTATTGGAACCAATCACAATGCTCTTCTACAAAATTTCCTTTAATGTTTAAATGGGGCGAAAAGGAAGGCCGTCATTTAGCAATCCCAATAAATAAATAAATAAATAAATAAATAAATAAATAAATAAATAAATAAATACATGAATTTTTTTACAATAATATGACAAAGTAGTTTTTTGTTTACTTTAAAAAAAATTACTGCTATTGCCTTAATGATTGAATAAGTATTATTTTAATGAAATTTGATATACATATAGATTACCTTTGACTTTGTGCCATCTTGGAATAAATAATTGTAAATGTTTGTCTTTAAAAGAAACGACCTCTGGTCTCTTTCAATGTAGCTGATACTATACATTATGAAAATAAATAGAGCATAGAAGAGAAGGGTGAATAAGGCCTCTTTAGCGTGAATTTCTTGCTTCCTTTTTTCTTTCAATTTCTGCATGTTGTTCTGAGTGCTTTCTTCATTTGGTTTCATCAAGTCTTGAAGAAAAACTGTGGAGAAATTTTCACAAAAGAAAAAAAATCAAAAAGTATATAGATCATGCACTGTGTAGATGCTATACAGTGATCATTCTCAAAAGTCCATTTAAACAATACAAATTATGAGCAGAGCCATTACGGACCTCTGAAAACAGAGGTGGGATCAGGGGCCATTGATGAGTAAGCATCTACTGCCGATCGATCTCACCCGCCGTGTGCTCCTTGTCATGATCGAGTAAACAGAAAAAATTGTGAAAATAATGGCCTTACAATTTGTATGAAAAACGCCAGTCAACTTTCGACCAAGTGGTAGACTGTATTTGCAAACGAGGTCATTGTATCGAACATAGAATTTGCAAAACGTTGACTTTTAAACGAGAGTGTTGATATCCTTGTATCATCAACTTATTTGTCAATAACCTGCCTCGTTTTTGAAATTGTTCATAGGTAGAATGTTAACATGCTTTTGCGTATCGAATCAACTGGGAGCCTTAAACTCCGTATGCAGATGATTATGATATAATGTTAAATGAATAAGGGAAGCTGAGATCAACTCGTTTACCATAAAGTCTAGTTTTCAATTTGCCATCAAAGTCTTTCTCTAGTTAAACATTCCAATATAAAAAAAAATGTGTACGACTTTGTGGTTTCTTAATTCGAATTCAATGGGATATATCGAATCAATGTTGGAATGAAACTGAACATTGGTACTTGATAAAACGTCGCCGATATATCTAAATGCTGAATTGAAGCAATAGACTTCTTCATTCCATGTAGAAGTATTTGAATAAATTCTGCTTCCTATAAATATAAAAGCAGGTCTGCTAATAACGGGGCACAATTAGTACCCATATAGATTCCAACAGACTATTGAAAGACCTGGTATTAGAATACCAAATAAATTTTGTCAATGAGAAACTCAAGCATAATATCAACTTCGGGTTAGTTGTGTGTAGAATCATTTTTTGGACAAAATAGGTTTGCAGATGACTAATTACAAGGACGAGTTCAATTTTTAATGTTATCACACAATTTTTATTTTTATAATTCTATTCTACGATATTTTTTCATTTATCCTCCCAAAAAGTCTATAATCCCTATCTCTTTTGTTTTAGGTTTTAAAGCAGATAAAAAAAAGTAATGTCGAGAAAATATCATTCTGTTGATTAATTGAGTTATTAGTTACATACCAATATCACTTCTTTTGACTTCTGCTTTGTATGACGAAACTGTTTTCCTGAGTTCTTCTTCAGACACTGAAGGAACTTCACCATCTGGAGACCTTTTGAAGAGTAGAGCTAAAATAACAGCGACTATCATTACCTGCAAATTAAAAAAATTCAAATTGCAAGCATAGATAATTTACACTATTTAAGATTTAACCGACAAAATTTCATGCCGTGACCTTCGTGATAGTTGGCATTAAAAAATTCATTCATGTCACATACGTTATAGTTTTATTCTTAAAATAAGTAGAAACATTGTTTTAGTATAAACGTATTGTCTCCCTTATAAATCAATTCAGAGCAAAATTCATTCAGAGTTCATGAAAAGGCATTATCAATTCTTGTTTGGTGATGCACACTTGTTGATTATTCTAGATTAAAAGTTTTGGCCCGCAAAAGTTTTCCTGGATCTAGTTTATAATGTTGCAAGTACATTGCCATTTAATGCTACACCCTCAGAGCAAACGTAGGGGTCGACGTATTGATTATTTCAGAGAATAAAAATATATTAAACCAGTTCTAAAAATCACGAATGCAACGACTATCAGATTAAAGAGCTTCCTCTCTCCCAAATTCGAGAGTGAAGTGCGATAAATTTGAATGAACATACCAGTGCCCTATAAGATAAGCATTTTATTAGATGAAAGAAAGTACTGTTGTGTCAATAGGAGTATCTATGAAAATTTCAGATAAGGGACACCTTGTTAAAGTCGTTGCAATGCTGTACGTTTTACTATAGGCAGTATACACTTTTTTACTTAATAATACTGAAATTATCGAATAAATCGATATATAGAGTTTCCTGTGGTCCAACTATCAGAAATCTAGGTAGAAATGAAACATGTCTTCCATCATTAAAAAAGAAAATCTGATAGGTTTATCTTAATGAACCCTCTTCAACAAACCCCATCCGTCGCCTGCGTGGTGCAGTGGTTAGACCGTTTGCTCTAGATTCGCGGATTAAGGAGTTGATCCTTAAATTCGAATCCCACTGCTTGACCTGGAGGCTTGTCCTTCGGATTAAATGGTGTCAACTGAATTCCTAGTATATCGCAGTAGGTGCAGGCAAGAAAAAGATCCATCACTGCTCAAAGGCCGTGTAAGTGCCGAGTACAGGTCTAAATTTGCAGCCCTCCACCGGCATTACCCCATCCCCAAAAAGATCACTGATGACCAGGATAATATGCAAAATTCTGTCTGGGATGTTTTCAGAGAAAATGCCTATCAAAATTGTTTCAAACTGATTTCCTTCTGAGAGTAGACTAATGCTTTATTTTGTCAGAATCAAAATATTTCCGTACTTATAGCATTAGAAGCTTCTAATTTGCCCATTGGCGATAAAGAAATGTTGCTGTATAACTTAGATTTAAACAAAGCTAATCAAATTAAGTTTGTAAACAAATTTAAAAAAATACCTTTAGGGGATCAACAATGAAAAAAGATTCCAAGAAGTTTAAAACAAAGGTTGTTAGCCAGTCTTCTGATTTTGCTTTTCCCCACTGCATGCTTATCAAAAACAGGTAAAAGGTGGATCCTAAGATTGCCAGAATGTTTACAGCCCAAGCTATATATACTGCCCAGTGCGGAAATGGCAGACGATTTCCAATAAACGGATCGTCCGCAGAAGAATATTCACTTGCCGAAATTTTTTCATTCAATAGTTCAGCTTTATATTTATCTTTGTGGTTGACTCTTCGCTTCTGACGACTTTTTCTGTAGATTAATATAACAAATATAATAGGAAAGGTAGTGATTGCAATGCTTTGAATCGAGATGATTAGGTTGGTCAAAGAAAACCTCAGATGTCCGATTTTGAATTCACTAGCAGTTTGTTCTTCGGAGGATTTGAAGAACATGGCATTTGTAAGCATAGTTAAAAACAAGAAAGTTGTGAGGCAAACAAGTCTTTGTACTCTCGTGAAGTTACTTCTTTCTGGTCTGATGAATATGGATAACCAGAGATGATTTTCAGTGATGCTCTTTTGTGCGTGCTGGGAAAACAGATTATTAAAGGATAGAAGACTTTCTTGTCCACATACAGGAATGGCACATTCCACTGCACCATCATCGTGATCTATGGCCAGCCATCGCTCACAAAGGAAAATATACCTGTTTGAAAAGAAGCACTACAATTTTTTTTTTAAATATTATTATACAAAAATGCAGTATGTAAATTAAAGATTAAACTTTTGTTTTCATTAAGGATATAACAGAATCAAATAATGGAATATATTAGAGGCCTATACAACTGCAGTCACCCGAGTGTTATCACAAAGGTCTTCTTTTCTGAAATAAAAGTACGTGTTTTTTTTTTCTTATCTGATTATTTCCTCCTTTCTTAAACTTGACAGCTCTGATGAACTTCCCCTTAATCCAAATGGCAATGATGTCATTAAAATTAAAATTTACATCATGTGGGAATATTTTGCATAAACAAGACAACCTTATGCCTTGCTTTCGGGGATTTTTTTTTTTTTTTTGAAAATCTTTATTAAAAAAAAACCCATAAAGAATTAACCCCTGTCTCTCTTCGAGGCCTCAGTATGCTCTACAAAAATGATTGCAAATGAATTTGAACATTTGTATCATAGTATTCTTAAAAAAGAGATTTTAAATAACTTTTCCTAAATATTTCTTAGTATCCAGAAGTCCTGATAAAATTGTATCTCTACTGGTATGTATTTTTAAAAGTTGCAGATGGACTTCAAACATTTTTTCCGTTTTACATTCACAGAATAGTGTATTATGAGGATTCTAAACTTCTCACAAATATTACAGAAATCAAGCAGAACTATTTAAAAAAGGAAGAGTAGGATTAAAATCTAATAAACAGAATTGTTTCTTTAAAAAAAACTTCTGTTTTTTCAGAAAGTTTTTGAATCTTTCCTCTATTATTAGTGATCATGGCAACATTATGCATGAAAGTCGAATTTCGAGAATACAGAATTATGCGTCTCGTGTTGATTTATAACTACATTTTACTATAGTTGGAATAGCTTTTTGAGAGATTTTTACGAAAATTTCTTTATCTAGAATCAATGGCAATAAAGTTCACTGGGATAAAATATCAAAAAATTATAAATATCAGGAAAGTCTAATTGTTTTCAGGTATCATTCAAATGGGGACAAAAATGTAGGAGCAAAACATTTTGAAACAGTTTAACAGAAAAAAAACATCTTGACGAAATATACCTTACTAATAAAAAATGCTCTTCTGCTCTCTGAAAAGTTGGGCTAAACCTTCATTATATAATTTTGAATGTACATAAGTGGTTTCATTTACATTTGACTTTCGAAATCTGGTATAAACAGTCATTCTACGATAAATGGACCAATATTCATTGTATAAAACGTGAAAAAAATAATTGTTTCAAATAGCAAAATGAACATCATAATTCTCTAAAAGACATATCAGTGAACTTGAAAACAAAGAATTGTCCACAAATCTGGTATCGTTAACTTTTTACAACAATTTCAAGATGCCATTGATTTTAAGGTAATGTTACGGAAGTTAATGCTTGATAAAGCCTTATTATTTTTAAATAAAGCTGAATTTGACCAATTTTTCGTTTCTGATGTTCAGTAAAGAACGCTAAAGTATGATTCATGAAGTCTCGCATGAATCCGAATTTAAATTAAATTTTCGGGAAAAATATCGTTACGGAAGTTAATTTCCAGCAATAAAAGTTAAAATTCTCTTCAATGGTTAAAATCAAAGTTTGTTTTACGATATTAAACAAAAGTATGAAGCATTTTGTTCCCAAAATGATAATAATAAAAAACTTATACCTTTAATGCAAAAACTTTCCTGAATTACCGTTACGGAAGTTAAATTTTTAAGAGAGAGAACTATTTTTGTCCAATTCATTTTGTTATGTCAAAGATGTAATCGTCTAAAATAGCTGACTCGCAACTAAAATCGATTATATAAGGTTTCGTGGTCACTTTCAGATAAGTTTCAGTTCTTTTTGAAATCTGCATTCTATGCGTGGAATTTAAAAAAAAAATCGTTACGGAAGTTCATCGATTTTAAGCGACATGCTTATGATTTCTCATGAGAGGAGATCCATGCATTTCTTTGCGAGAAGTGGTTTGATTTCTTTTTATATAGGATAAAAGACATTTTTAAGATTCATTGCAATCTATTCGGAACGACTTTACGGCTGAAAAAGTCATCTTAAAATTTGTAAGTAAATGAAGCGACATTTAAGATTTGCAGTGGAATACGTTTTCAACATTACATTATGTTCATATCAAAACGTTAACTGCATATATATATCGGTGAAAAATTACAGAACTATGTGCGTACGTTAAGTCTTAGACTTGAAATCAACCTAATTTACAGTTAAGATATTACAACGGTAAATTTGTAAGCGACATAATAAATTCTTAATTGGTCATGTTTTTGTAGAATGACTGTGTAGTCCTTGAAAAAGAAACGCATATTATATTTTTAAGCATACATTCAACATTTATTTTTTTTTAAACTCCCATCCCTGTCAGGACCCTTTATAAACAAAATTAATTCTAATATTCACCACATTAAAATGCTTGTACTTAAGTCTTACATCTTTTAACTTTGGAAGTCTTGAGAAGACTTTATTTTATATTTTTTCATCACATTCCAATGTACAATTTTGGACTACCTTTGTGGTCCCATCCATGTCCTTGGGAACAAAGAAAAAACAACTAGGAGATGCCTATATATGAATTTTACTTTTGTAGCTTTGCTTTGCATTCTCATTCTAACTCTGAATACATTTGCATCTACACAGCATGACTTGCAGATAAAGTAATAGTGGTATTGATGTTATTAGTATTTGAATTATAATGTAAAGTTTTGCATAAACCCCATTGTGGCGTAATTCCTGCCAAAGTGGCCACGGTTTGGACAAAAATGGGTCTTATCTATAAGAGAATTCCTATTGTTTGATAATTTGTACTATGGAGTACTTGAGAAAAAAAAGGGGTTTTTTTGGGTTTTTTTTTTTAAAAGCATGTTCCTAATACTTTACAATGTAAAGTTTGGATCCTCTATGAATCCTATGAAGGAGAATTAAGACCTGAACACTTTGTCAAAATGTTTTAGAAATATTAAAGAATCGTGTTAAAGCGTTAAAAGGCAATATCTGAACCATCTATTCTTCCGTTTTCACTAAATCGGAGATGATAAAAGAATTAGAAAGACTGCATGAACAATGGTTCCAGCAGACAAGGCTTGTAACAATATCGTCTTTGTAAGGTCATTATAATGACTACATGTTTTAATTCTACATCTGAAAACCAACTTATACTTACAGTTAACTTTCGAAGGATAAAATTCTTCAAAGTCACATTTCAGTCTTAGATACTTTTAACATTCCAGAAAACGAAGGTAGGTTTAAACTACCCAACATATACTGGATTCCTAAACTTCATAAAAATCCTTACAAACTGATGCATTGCCGGGTCCAGCAAGTGCTCTTTTCCTCCTCACAAACATACTAACAGATTACTGTAAAGCACAAACTTCAGACGTATTCTGTTTTGGCAGATTCTAGGAGGTATTGTGAATGAAACGTGGATTCTAAACAACTTCAAAGAACTTGTATATTGTACCTTCCCCTTTGATAATGATAAAAATGTTTGTATGTTTAAGAAAAGATTTACAAAAATGTATTTTAGCTAGTATTTCCTCATAAATTGATTCAGAGGAGTTGTGCAGCATTAACAGGCATCATAAAATCGCAAGAAAGTACTTAAAATATTGGAACTCTTAAATGATAAAGTGAACATGAAAAATAAAGTTCAAAACTACGTTGCATGTGTCCTTAAAATCACAATTTCATTTTTCAAAATTTGGTAACATCTAAACATAACTTTTCTACACTTTATACAACTATTCCTCGCGATAAATTTAAGGAGAAACAGGACCTTGAGCTGAAAAAAATCTACTCAATGAATTTTTTTTCATATTTTGTATATTTTTAAATTATATTATTTTATATTATATTATATATTATCATATCTTAAAGCAAATCTGTCATCACTTTTCTTGACTTGTTTAATAGATATTGCCATACAAATATCGCTCCGTACAGTGTCTGTATTAAGGTTTGGTTCTTCGTGTTTACGGGTCCATTATTGAGTCTATAATGGGAATTTTTAAACGCAAACAAAAAATATCTATAAGGATATGCAGGTCTTCAAATATTCGGAATATGAATAGTGTTTAGAATTCTTATGGCATTTTTTCATATTTCACAATGTATATATATGGACTGATAAATTACGCACTTCTCAAGACGGCTTCAACGACAAAAAACGCACTTGGGAAAAAATTCTGTCAATAAACATTTTAAAATTTTCGATTGAACTGAGGTCCTTAGCAATTACTTGTAGCAATATCGGAAGGTGAAGCTTACTTCATTATCACACTGGACATAGTTAAACAAGACAATGGCTTCATGTTTACATGTTTCCGAGTACGGGAAAACAACTGTGGCGTCACACGAAAACTTGCACAAGCGAAATGGAATACAGATAATCTCTGCTACCAAACACGTAAAAATTATTATTGTCATTCCTGCTTCAAAAAAATTGTCACGATGCATTGATCAATTGTAATCTGTTTTAATGTTTTAAAACTGACCAGGTAATCAACGTGTACTTGATCTCACTGCACTGGGAGATCATATATGACGTCACGGACATGTTAGACTGCAGCGTAAAGAAACAGAGGGGTGGATCAATCGATTTCACAATTTTTAAATATTTACATGATTGTTTAAAATTCTTAAATATTTTACATAAAATGTTTAAGCTCAACAAGTTGAACAAAAATTATACAAATACAGGTGATTATAACAACTTTTAACATCAAAATTAACGGTGACTATGACGAAGTCGCTCAATTGAGTCATGTGACATGTGTCCTGTCTCCCCTTAAAAACTAGCTTTTTAATATCATAGAAAACTACTTCTCAATAAAAATAGAACTTGGAAGTTTTCACTTTTTGTGATTGGTCATCAACAAAATAATAAAAATCAATCTGATTCTACAGATTACTGTGAAGTTAATAGGATGCTGGAGTATGTAGTTTTTCGAGACCAATTCTTCAAACAATCTATTGAAATTCTGATGGGCACTAATTACATTCCTTTATAAGCCATCATTAGCCATCATGATGTTATTTTTCTATTAAGCCAAATTTATTCACAAACTCTACACGAAAACGATAGAACACTTGCTGTTGCCTTCAGCTCAACATTCAGATATATCGATGACCTTTTATTAATTAACAATAGTAACTTCCATTCAGATTATATCGACTTGATATATTTCAAAAAACACCAGAGTCTGCCTCATTTTTGGATGTTTTACTGACTAAAGACGATAAGGGCCAACTAACAATTAAACTGTATAACGAGCTTTTCCATCATCGGCTTTTCTTATTTATTTAGTAATATTCCGCTATTACCTGCTTATTGTGTTTATGTCTCCAAACTTATTAGATGTTAAAGAGCATGCCCTGCGTCGATCCATTTTTAAACCAAGGCAGGTTGCTGACAGAAAGTTGATGTTTCAGGGATTTCAGCAACCTCGTTTAAAGTCAGTACTTCGTGAAGTCTAATGTCATTGTAATGACCTTTTTAGCAAGAATAACCTATCAATGGGTCTTATTTTTACTGACATGTTTAATATCAATTGTTTGTTTTATACTACATCTAACTATAGAATATTACGTATTTTCTGGCTTAAGATTAATATGAATTTGCCGTCAACTGACAAACCTTAATCTATACAGTGTTTAAAACGAATTGCTCAGTGTTATGTAAGGGAAAAGTTTGTAAATGTAAATAGTATATTCTATACTTACCTTCTGCGAGTTTGTAAGTCATCAATGATTATTTTGTTCAGGTACCAACTTTGAAAATCCCCTGACCCTGCGTTGTCGTGCGATATTTGTAAGTATGTTAAATCACCGAGTGGATGTTCAGTTCCCATGAAAAAATGTTTGATGCTTGATGTTTCGAATCCCTTGAAATTCATAAAATAAATATGAACAAGATGTGTTTGTGATGCTGATGCCCCGTATGGCAACTTATAGCGAAGGTTAAACTTTCTCAGATGCAAATCAAATACGTTATTACCCAAAGAAAATGTATTGTCCCGATTAATATACCTGTGGAATATGAAATTCCTAGCAGCTACCATTGAAAAGATATGGAAAAGGTTATAGTTTTTCAAAAGTAAGTCAAACATCAAGGTCAAGTGGTCAAAATTAATGGTGCCCAAGAAAAGGCTTTCTCACAAAAAATACACACATGAAATACGAAAGACCTAGCATCAACCTTTCAAAAGATATGACCGAGGTTAGAGTTTTTCAAAAGTAGGCCAAACTCCTAAGTCAAGGTCAAGGGTCAAAGTTGTTGGTATCCAAAGAAAGGTCTTGTCACAAGGATTACATAAGTGAAGTATGAAAGCCCTAGCACCAACTGCCCAAAAGAAATGGCCAAGGTTAAAGTTTTCCAAAAGTAGGTCAAACTCTAAGGTCAAGGTCAATGGGCTATAATTGTTGGTTTCTAAAGGAAGGTATTGTTACATGCAATACACTTGTGAAGTATGAAAGTCCTAACACCAACTGTTAAAAAGTTATAGCCAAAGTAAAAGTTTTTCAAAAGTAGGTCAAACTCCTAGGTTAAGGTCAAAGGATCAAAGTTGTTGGTATCCAAAGAAAGGTCTTATCACAAGAATTATATATATTAAGTATGAAAGCCCTAGCACCAACTGTTCAAAAGTTATGGCCAAGGTTAAAGTGGGGTAATTTCTTTTTTAAAAAACTGGTTCAAACTCTAAGATCAAGGTCAAAAGGTCAAATATGATGGTACCCAAAAAAGGTCTTTTCACAGGGAATACACATGTGAAATATGAAAACTGTAGCTCCAACCAATCGAAAGTTATGAGCAATGATAAAGTTTTTGAGGACAAACAGATTAACAGACAGACACAGAGACAGCTAGACGGACGGACAGGGCAAAAATTATATACCACCGAATCGTCCATACGAGGGCATAAAAAAATTATTTGAGAGTTTTACAGTTTGAGTTATTCAAAAGTTAGAATAAACAAGAGGCCCATGGGTCATATCGCTCACCTGAGCACTTTGTATCGAAAAGTTGAAACATATAAGTGATGCCTCACCCTAACACCCCACCCCCTTCAGAAGGACAGGGGGTGTGCATTAAAAGATTTTTTTCCCTATATGTTACTATGTATAACTTTGATCCCCTGTTTGGGCCCACCCTACCACAGGGGTGGGGACATGATTTGAACAAACTTGAATCTACACTTCCTGAGGATCCATATTCAAATGACTAATTAATGTGTTTCTGCTCTTGAAAAGAAGATTTTTTTTCCTTTATATTCCAATCTATAAAACTTTGATTCCCTGCTGTGACCCGAAACTATCCCCGAGGGCCATGATCTAAACAAATTTGAATCTACACTATGTCAGAAAGCTTCCATATAAGCTTCAATTTTTCTGGCACAGTGCTTCTTGATAAGAAAATTTTTCAAAGATGTCATCAAATTTTCACTAATTCTTATTTACTTCCCTTAAAAAGGTGTGTGGCCTATCATGTGAACAATCTTGAATCTTCTTTATCCAAGGATGCTTGTGGGAAGTTGGATTGAAATTAACACAGTGTTCTGATGAATAAGTCAAAAATGTGTAAAGTTTACAGACAACAAACGATACATGACAGACACGCAGACGCCGGAATCTTTCCGATCAGAAAAGTCCACTAACGCTTTCGGCGCAGGTGAGTTAAAATATACAATGAATAAAATTACGCTTTCCTGTGAGTTGACATATCTTTTTATGATCAAATAGATAAATATGTGACGATTTAACGTTTTGGTTCAGAGTTTCAAAAATGTATAATGAGGATTAATCCCCATAAACCTTCGTAATTCCGTCAGTGAGCTGACGAACTTCTGTGTTCTGTTCCTCTCCCATCAAAACAAAGCTGACGTTAGACTTCGTACCCGCACCTCTTCTCATGCCAGTATGGACGGATATCAAATAGAAATAATTGTCTGTAGCATCACTGTCCGCCAAAAAGTTGACAGACCACTAAAAAAATAAAACAACTTCACTTTGAAAAAAAAATTTAATTGAAGCACTTACTACAAAACATTGAGATATTTAGAAAATCTTATCATGTAGAAACTATTACTGCGTACAATAAATTCAAACGATACCTTTTCTAGATCAATCTTATCCTTCTTTCTTAGGAACACCAACAAAAAGATTGCTATAATGGAGAGACAAATCAGAGTTCCGTATATTGCAGCGTTCTCGGGATCAATCTTACTAAAGACGACATCCCAATGAATGACATTAGGAGGTACGTAAAACGTAGTGGCAAATATGGATCCACTAGATTTTGTCTTTTCGCATCGGCAGTTGGTCTCCTCTAAAGTGCTTGTCTCTAGAACCTAAATATTATGTAGCCATTCAATTGCTGTTGATTTTCTATAAAAACTTTTAAACAGCAACAATAAACTTTACTCCTTATAGATGGTGGCAATGTATGAAGTGAATTTGTTCTCGGAAATTTAATACGTTCAGAAGGCTTTTCGTTAAATGTTTGTTTTATTCACAGAAAATGAGAAAGTGATTACTCAGCATCAGTAAGTATGGTTCCTGTATGTTTAAAGTACATGTATTATTGTTTTTTCTTTTTTCTGCATTTAATGTGGGTAACTTTAGTACACCAAAAATCTTTTGAAAATTAAAATAAATAATTGCATAATTTCACCAACCGTGCACCCAGTTGACACCCAAGCTTCTTTTTCTTCATTCCATGTCCGACAAGCTGTGGTCGCTATGGCTAATGAAAAATTAGCAACGGACGGATTAAACGCTGGCACATCTGGTTCCTGCGTAGTAGCATCTGTTCTAGCAGAAGCCATCATGGTAGTCCCTGTTACCGTATCCACAGCCCTTCTTTTTCTTGATTTTGTTTCTGTCTTTGCTGAAAGAGTAAAAGAAATTAAATGGAATAGTAATCAATGTATAGGAATTAGCTTAGTATTCCTTCTCAAAAACAGATTGTTTTCGGGAAGCCTTTGATGTTTGTCTTTCTGCCTATCATTATTGTCCAAGTAATGACAAGAATCCTTGACTGAAATAAAAGCTGACTTAATAATTATTATGTTATGGACCTAAAGTTGTTTTACGATCTTGAAGCAGGGTTATAATTTAAAGATCAAAATCACTTGGCAATGATATTTTGAATTCGTGTCAAGATTTTCAACTATAGAAGTAACAAATATAAATACATATTGTATATACCTTCAACAGGTTGCAAACCAATAAAACAGGTCCCTTTGAGACACGTTTTGGGTGGAATTACTAGTTTGAAACCGCGCTCGGTCCAGTCTCGGACGGATAATAGCCTTTTCCAGTCATGTTTTTCCTCAGCTTCTCTTGGATAACCTGTTTTGCTGACAAAAACGGTGTATAAAGTTAAGTTTTTGCTGTTGATGTCAATATTTTCTGGGTTAAAATACAACATGATTGTATCGTCATCATGTTTAACGTCCACATTAAAATAGAAGAATCTTTCTGGGTCTTTTGGAATTGTCTTTGGAGTATATCGTTGCATATAACGATAAGAATCCTTGTTTTTGAATTTGACAATTGGGGCTACTTTTCCTTCTAAATTGACAGAAATTACTGAGGATGTTAATCCGGATGAACCATTTCCATACATGTAGGGATTTTTCTTGATGATAGACATCTGAAAACAAACAATATTTGTAAAATCACATCCGTATTAGCATAATTACCTAATATAAGTAAAGAAATAAAAATGAAAAAATGCAAAGTGCATATTTTTACCTGTGGCAAATTTGTGGAATCAAAATCACAAGTTGTTCAATCTATCTCAATTTTAATCCCTTCTTCAGAAAATCAAATGACAAATAAAAGACACGAAAAAAAAAAGCTACTTACCTGCATTTTAATAATGGAATTCGCATTGGTCATTGAAGACGTTGTCTTGGTAAAATTTAATAAAGGGAAAGCCGTGGTACTCATTGTCTCATTCAAAACCGCTGAGACAGTCGATAAATTTGTTGTAGCTTGAGTTAATGTTATGTTTAACAGTGGTGATGCAGCTTTGTTCGTAGTTGTTGTTGAATTTTCGAAAGTATTTGTTGTTCCACTTTTTAACGTTGTTGATGATGGGATTGTTGTCATATTTATCAATGACAAAGTTGTTAAGTTAAAAATTGTAAAAATGTTATACGAAGTTGTCGGTCTTGTCGTTAATGCTCGTGTTGTTGTTGATAATTTCATTGAAGTTGTTGTGAATGAATCATTTATTGAGGATCGTGTTGGTCCTGACCCTATTATACCCAGTGGTGTAGTCAGTTCTTCTGTTTCTGTATTCTTCCAGAATGACGTTGTTATGTTATTTGTATTTGATCCATCGTCATTTTCTTCAACTATTACCAGTTGAATACCTTGATAGTCGGGCAGTATTTTCAGTAAAACATCAGACAGCGCGGCCTTCTCTGTCACCACGTCAATATCACCACGGTGAAGAGTTTTATTTCCTTCTCCTACTTCTTGTTGCAATAATGAGATCTTTTCCATATCTTTCAGGACTTTTTCGATTACTTTTGCTGTCTTCCTTGCCTAAAAATAGAAAGCATGGTGTATCAGATTTACTTCATTCAGCAACAGTAATAGCAATATACGAATTGACATGAAATATCAATTTTTACAGTTTACTAACAAATTTAGCCATATCCTTTTGCTTTTCCATTTTCCTTTTAATTTTCGCCAAACGTTTCCTGGCTTTTTCTCTCAACTTCTTTAACTCTGTGACATCATCCCTTTTCATCAAAGGGTCATCAAATTGTGATTCTCTTCTGTATTCTTTGACAAACTCTTCGTATATTGAATCCTCCGATATTTCTTCGTCGAGACTATATATTTCTTCAGGGATCAATGTATCTATGAATTTGTCAAGGGATGTTAGAGTACCTGAAAGGTTTCAAGATGGTAGATTATGAATATATATTTGCCTCCTTCAAGCGTTTTGTATTGTTGTCAAAGTGCAACTTTTCTGGTTCAACTTTTGACGTTAGACAGGGACAGTTGCAGTGACCTTTTACTCGCCTCTGACCGTCTCAGAAGCTTAAAATATTGTATTCTTTTGCATGAAATATATGGAGATAACAGACAGTATTCAAGCTCAAATGTCCATTAAACAATACAAATCAGGAGCAGAGCTAACACGGACCTATAAAATGTTAGAGGTGGGATCAGGTGCCATGGAGGAGTGAGCATCCCTGCCGACCTGTCACACCCGCCGTATGCTTCTTGTCATATATAAGTTAATAAAATAGTTCAGAACAATAAACCTGCTCTAACCTATTTTCATATCAATTAACCATGTGAAGGAAACATAAACGATATGTATTTAAAGAAACATAAACGTAAGAAATAAATACTCGCTGAATACAACCAATCTTAACTTTAAAACGTTAACTATATACTTTAAGTTCCTTTAAATGACATAATGCTTCATTTATGAATTCATATTTTATCGACAAGTAATGGAAAGACCTATGGCCAAAGCAGAGACACTGAAGGTTCGCCGTTTCTACAGTGATTCTTCTTACATTTTGTACCTAAACATGGATTGAACCACAGGGTGAATCTACACCAATCAGTCAACCGAATGGTCACTGAAAAGTGTGGAGAGGTGTCTGAATGGCAGAGCTCTGCAATTCAGTTACCTTTCAGCAATCTTTGAGTGACCTTTCAGTTAACAGAATGGCAGTGTTTCATACTGTGAACTTTATCAACTAAGATACGGATCAAGCTTATCCTAAAATTTTCGTTTGCACAAGAAGAATAAGGTATGAAGGAAAACAACACATATCTTACTATTTACAGCGCCCTCTATACTTTTGATGCTCTCCACAGGAAAGGGGACTACTTCTGCATTTTTAACAACGCTTTCCATTATAGTTTCTGCTACTTTGGTTGATTTCTCCTGTTTAATAATCATATTTAAACGATAAATGAACATAAACACAACAGCTTTCTCAAAGTCTTTTTCCTAAGAGAGATAATTACATGTATTCTTTCTATTAATTAAAATATACAAGTATATTTTCTATAGCTAAATGGTTGCACAAATTCAGAAGATTGGAAACTTTGTCTGGTATTGAAAATGAATGTCTATCTCTTCTAAGTGATTGTTTTTTTTTAATAATTTAAATTTCGATTTGTCCAATTAAAAATTAAGGAACTTACTGCGCTTTCTGTTGTGATGTACTTGGAATTACTGGAGACAGACATAAGAGTACCAGCTATCTGCTGGGCGTCAGTAGGATTAAATACTTTAGTGTTGTTTTCGGATGACACAGATTTTAGTAAAACCCCAGCCATTTCTTTGGCTTTCTATTAAAAAATAAAAGGCATCACCTTTTTTAAGCCCGATATTTCTTTTTTTGAAAATTTATGAGTTCTTCTTTGTTTTAGAAGGAAAATGAGGGATAGGCAATGCATCATACCTCCTGATACAACTTATCTACGGGAGTTATGGATTCTTCCTCCTCCTCCTCCTCCTCGTCTATATTGTCCTCTTCCTTTCCATTGTTTTCTATGGTTTCTGGCTGTAAAATGAATGTTAAGTTAGAAGGGGTAAACTTTAATGTATGTAATAAACACATTGAAAAGTACTAATAAAATTTTTTGAAATATCAAAAGTTTTAAAATGTTTCTTTTTCTTCTTGAGGCAAGTACCGTATATCCGGTTTTTTTCGCGTGTTGCAAATTTTGCGAAAAAAGGTAGATTTGTACACCTTTTCAGAATCAAATGACCGTCCTCTAACATGCAGGCAAATACATGTACATACGAGCCCCGTTTGCTAAGAGCACCCGGAACATCTCGCTCGTTTTCAACATGATACAGGCTAAAACTTGACCAATGAAATCCTTCGTAACGAAACAAATAAACAATTCCTCGGATACAAATGAAAAATTATCGCATATAAATAGGAAATTTTGCAAAAGAAGTAAGAAATTATATAAATGGAAAATTATAGAATACGCATAAAAATTATAAAATGCAAATGAAAAATTATACAATACAAATAGAAAATTATAGAATACAAATAAAAAGTATAAAATACAAATGAAAAATTATACAATACAAATAAAATTTATACAATTCAAATGGAAAATTATACAATACAAATGGAAACGATCGAACATTGCAACGTTTGACATGCCATACACGTTCACATCTCAACGATCAGTTTATAATTTAAAGAACAGGAAGTATTTGAATCAGGATATTGTTAATTTAGGCATACCTCGTTCGTTTCCGGTTGAAAATATGACAGGGCTGAGCTTACAAGTCTAACAACTGCCATATCATTCCCTCCAGCTTCCGTTGTATTTAGAAGATTTGTGAATGAATTAAAAAGTCTGTTTAAGCCTTCTGTATCTTTGTCATCTTTGGGAAGTATATTTTCTAGAGGTTTGACCTAGGCAATATAAATACACCTTATTTACTGCAACTTTTCATACTTTTTTCTCTAAGAAGTTACATGTATAAAGGACTTAATTTGAAGTTTCAAAACTTGATAAAGGAATGAAATGTACAATTAATTCAAAAATATAATGTACTGAAAGATTTTATGATGATTTCATATTGTCTGGTGTTTGTTTTAAAAAAAAATAGCGTCACGTCGGTATATTTTAATCGAACGTACTTCAATAACAAAAACTGTAAACTATAACATCCCCTGAATTTTTCTTTTTAATTTCTTACATAATCCGCTTACGCGGGTTATGCATTTGTTCTGCTATGTCACAATCTTTAATCCCCCTATTTACGAACAAAAATAAGCATTTTATTGTTAAATACATTGCATTCCTTCTTTAAACAGACTAAGTTGCCCGATAAAACATTGAACATACCCTTAGTCAACATCAACTAAACCCACGAAAATTTCAAACATGAAGGATTAATCAGTCATTCTACGATAAATTGACCAAGTCAGGGTTTAAACATGAAAAAAAATAATTGTTTCAAATAGCAAAATGAACATCATAATTGACATTTCAATTAACTTGAAAAAAAAAAATAATTGTCCACAAATCCGGTATCGTTAACTTTTTACAACAATTTTAATATACCATTGATTTAAAGGTAATGTTACGGAACAAGTCTTATTATTTTTAAATAAAGCTGAATTTGACCAATTTTTCGTTTCTGATGTTCAGTATAGAACACTAGAGTATGATTCATGAAGTCTCGCATGAATCCGATATTAAGTTAAAATTTCGGGAAAAATTCCCAGCAAAAAAAGTTAAATTTCTCAGCAATAGTTAAAATTAAAGTTTGTTTTAGGATTTTAAACAAAAGTATGAAGCATTTCGGTCCCAAAATTATAAAATCTTTATACCTTTGATGCAAAAACTTTCCTGAATTACCGTTACGGAAGTTAAATTTTTAAAAGAGACAACTGTTTTTGTCTAATTCATTTTGTTATGTCGAAAATGTAATCGTCTAAAATAACTGACTCGCAACTAGAATCGATGATATTTTAGGTTCCATGGTCACTTTCAGATAAGTTTCACTTCTTTTTGAAATCTGCATTCTGTGCGTGAAATTTAAAACAAAATCGTTACGAAGTTAATCGATTTTTAGCCACATGCTATAATTTCGCGTGAAAGTAGATCCATGCATTTCTTTGCGAGAAGTGCTTCGATTTCTTTTCATATAGGATAAAAACTTTTTTAACATTCATTACAATCTATTTGGAACGCTTTTACGACTAAAAATTTCATCTTGAAATTTGTAAATAAATGAAGCGACATTGAGATTTGCAGTGGAATACATTTTACAACATTACATTATGTTCATATCAAAACTGTAACTGCATGTATATCGGTAAATATTTACAAAACCATATGTGTATGTTAAGTCCTAGAGTTGAAATCGATCTTTAAATTTATAGTTTAGATTTTACAACGGTAAATTTGTAAGCGACATAAAAAATTCTTAATTGGTCATGTTTTTGTAGAATGACTGTAATATCATGTTTTTCTGTGTTTGTTTATATATATATATATATATATATATATATATATATATATATATATATATATATATATATATATATATATATATATATATATATAGATTAACGAATTTGGTATAAGTTATCAACCTATCCGTGATGCACTTCATATAAAGTAATGGGGCAATCTGAAACGCAAGTCTAGAATAAAACATACGAGTTCTAGATCTATGCCGAATATACACGAGTTGATATTCACTTTACATTCAAGGAAATACATGCCCACAAATGACTAACAATCCACTAGGGGCTTTAACTGTGCAATATTTTATGCATCACTCAGAAAGAATCAATAATAAAGCTTGTCAACCAAACCCACTTTGACATGAGTAGTAGTTGTATTGGAATCCCCGAATCGATCAAACACGTATACTCTTATTTCCAGTGTATAGTTTAGCTCTTTTAATCCAAGAGGTAGTTGCATATTGATGGCAGAACTTTCTCCTGAAATGTAGAAGCGTTATAATTTAAAACAAGTGTAATTGATGCAAAGCATCAAATCGGTCGGAAATATGTTTAGCATTTTAAAATTTTTCCATATGAAAGAGACCTAAAATATTGGAAAGTATAGAAGTATACAATCATTTTACTTGCAAAACAGTACACTTACACTTTACTTTTCTGTGCATCTTTTAAAAAATACTTTAATTTTCGTTAATTTTTAACTATTAATAAAAAATAGATAATTCATGGATATTGAAAACGACAATAAAGAATAGGATAAAATCATTATCAAATTATTTATTACAAGATGAATGTCTCAATGATTTCTGACAAAAAAAAAAGACGTGCAAACTTTTCTCGTGCTGATTCTATGGATCTCTGTCACGTGATCATGCCGATGTTTTCGTTGCGATAGACATGTATCACAATAAATGCGAAGTGCAGAAAAAATTCACATTCGGGAGAAGTTCATGTAACAACTTTCTATAAAATCATAAATTAATAAATGTCTGATGATAAATGAGAAACTAATTGAAACGTAACCAAAACAATTTAGAATTATTATTCAGCAAATCTTAAAAACTTTTGTTCGTAATTTTTTATGAAAGTTATTAATAAGAAATGATTCCATCGACCAATGAAAATATAACGTCTCATTTCCCCATGTGCACATTCTAACACAACACAAAAAGATCTGCCGCTGCGGTCGATAATGATTGATTGACTAGGTATTTAATGCTACCAATAAAAAAAAACCCTACTTATTTCATTGATATGTCCAATTTAATTAAGAAAAAAAGTCACATACACAGAAATGAGTGCTTCATCAGGTCTATCATTGTTAATGATGTGCAGTCCAATTCACTGAATCACATTTTAAAATTACAAAAATTGCATGCATACCATGCTTTTTCAATCACAACTTACAGTTATCTTTGTATTAAACTAGAATCAAGTTTATTCTTCTAGAGTGCAATAAATTATTGAATATTAACATTTCTAATTGTTTTCTCTGTGATAATTCTTAAAAGTTAAGTCAGTTGATTTCTTGATAATTAAACTTAAATGTAAATTTTGCCAAGTGAAAGGTCAGGAGCCTAATATGCATGTCAATCTCGTGCGGCTGTCTGACGTCAGTGGGTGGGGTCTATTAAAACAAGCATTCTGAGAGTACTGCATTAGCAATACTAGTCCCCTACCGGCAAGTGTAATCTGGTTTCCGTTAAAAATTGAAAATGCCATAATTCCGTTAAAAATCATTGAAGCAGAACGAAATGCAAACTCGATCTATTGATCTATAAGTAATCAAGGTTAAGTCACACACCGTCTGTCCCTCTGTCTGTTTGTCAGTCTGTCCCACTTGGTTTTCCGCACTTTTTTTCTAAACGCTTGCAGATCTTGATGTGATTTTTGGTATGTAGGTGTATCTTGATGAGTTACAGATCAAGTTTGCATTTCGTTCCGCTTCAATGATTTTTGACGGAATTACTACCTTTTCAATTTTTCAGGGTTTTCCGCGATTGTTTTCTAAACGCTTGCAGATAATGAGCTGATTTTTGGCATGTGACTTTACCTTGATGAGTCATAGGTCAAGTTTGCATTTCGTTCCGCTTCATTGATTTTTGACGGAATTATGGCCTTTTCAATTTTTAACGGGAACCAGATTACACTTGCCGGTAGGGGACTAGTATTGCTAATGCAATAATCTCAGAATGCTTGTTATGAATATGATTTTTAATTTTCTTTTTATTAGCGGATCTAGTTATAGAAATGATGCAAGGTTTTTTTTTTCTTTTATTAATTCTTTTTTAGTAATTCTTTTTTAGTAATGCATCAGAATAAGAAACTGCAAGTGTGGCAAAAAGATAGCCTAGAATGCATACTTCAGAGGGAACGTAAATTTACTAGCGGATGAAAAAAAAACTTAATATGAAAAAGGTTGTTCTTTTATCTCTGGTAACTATCCATATAATATAAATTCAGGCACTGCTTTTGCGGAATATTTCAAATAATGTTTGTTTAAAAAGGAAAGCATTTAATTGTACTTATGAAATTGAATATAGGTTCCAGTATTTTTTTTAGTTTGTCAAATTCTAAAGTTGCAGCAAATAGATGGATAGGTGTTTAGCGAAGCATATTTCTCTTGTTTCGAACAAGCACATTATACACATAAATGCACTCATTAACCACGAGTACTCCAAAACGTTTGAACGATTTTCTTGCTTATCATAAAATAATATGAGTTGCTTCTGGCTTATTCCAAAGCCATCTTTGTTCACTGAATTGTCGAATTGTGTATTCGATTCATAATTTTTAAAAAAAAATACCTCCTCTGTAAATTTCACGTTTTGTTCCTGGATCGCTTGCATTGGTCAATACTTCATACAGATATACCAATGGTTCCTGTGCGTCTCTGTCTTTTGAAAGGTCGCGAGCGTCATTGGAGCCCTCATCAACCCAGTCCTCACAAAGCACATCAAATGAATCATTCATAGCCCTTCCTGATTGAGATAAATCATATCATACATAAAAAGTATTTTTAAAAAAAAACATAAATACAATGCAACGCACTTTATTGTCGAATTCATGATTATTTTATGGGAGGGATTTTCTCAATCTGTATACTTTTTTTTCAAAAATATTAATGAAGCCGATTTAGAGGAAACTGATTCTGAAATCACTGAAAGCAAAGTAGATATAATGAAATATTTGATTGTCCAATTACGCAAGATGATATTTTGGCCGCCATAAAAGACCTTAAAAACAACAAATCTCCCGGAAGCGACCATATTCTTAATTAACATATTAGTACCACCATTTCACTGTTTCTGTCTCTATACGAGAAATTGTTTAATCTCATTTTTAACTCTGGGATAGTACCGGAAGAATGGCTTATAAGCATTGTAAAACCTATTTACAAAATGAAGGAGATCCAACACAACCCTATCGCCCGATCACATTGTTGAGCTGCCTTGGGAAACTTTTCACTAGTATTTTGAAAAAACGATTAGAAATCTATGCAGAAAATGTCAGTCTGATTAACGAAAGTCAAACAGGTTTCAGAAAAGGGTACCTAAAATAATATATTGATTTTGCATTTTCTGTCACAAGCACTTATAAATAGCAAAAAATGTTATATTGCGCGTTCATCGACTTTAAACAGGTTTTTGATACTGTTTGGAGAGGTGGTATTTGGTACAAATTATTTTCAAATGGTGTTAGTGGGGAGTGTTTCACTTACATTAGAAATATGTATGCAGGCATAAAATCAAGAATAAATGTGGATGGTGTGTCTTTTGAATATTTAACCTGCAATGTCGGGGTCAGACAAGGTAAAAATCTATCACCTTTTTTATTTTCTCTGTACATGTATAACAATGACTTAGAAAATTATCTTACAGAAAGGAATGTTAACGGCTTAGAGAGTTTGTCTAAAGAGATTGAAAATGATCTTACCGTTTTTATCAAACTGTTTATATTATATTATGCAGATGATACTGTTATTTTGTCTGAAACTGCAAATGATTTACAACATGCATTAAATGAACTTTCTTTTTATTGTAAAACATGGAAACTCCATGTTAATGTTAATAAAACAAAAATTGTCATTTTTTCAAAAGGACTATCACCCAAACATAGATTTAAATACAACAACGATGTTGTAGAAACTGTAAAAGATTTCAATTATCTAGATATTTTATTCTCAGGATAGGGCCATTTTCAAAGGCTAAGAAACACTTTTGTAATCAAGCACAAATGGCAATGTACAGCATTATAAGAAAAATTCGTTTATATAATCTACCTTTTGATTGTCAGCTAGATCTATTTGATAACGTTGTTGTTCCTGTTTGGTTATATGGGTGCGAAATATGGGGATTTGAAAATATTGATATTATTGAACGTCTACATTTAAGATTTTGAAATATATTTTAAACCTAAAATCTAGAACACCGAGTTTTATGGTAAACGGGGAGACTGGACGTTACCCGATGTACGTAAGCATTTATACAAGAATGATATCTTTCTGGGGAAAACTGTTACATGGAAATGAGAATAAGATTTGTAGAATTATTTATTTACATCTTTATAATAAATATACCAAAAATGGGATCAATAATCCATGGATATCTTGCATACAGAATATTATATTCTTAACACTGCAGGACTATGTAATGTTTGGAATGATCAAAATTTTCATAGTGTTAAGTGGATTGCGACTGCAATAAACCAAATGCTCAAAGACCAGTTTTTACAAAAATGGTATAGTGATATGAATAATTCCAGTAAAGGTATTACATATAGAATTTTTAAGACAAAGTTTGAATGTGAAAAATACTTAACTATTTTACCAAGAACATTTAGAAATATCTTCTCTCAAAATTCAGTACAAGTAACCATCGTTTTCCCATAGAGGTGGGTAGATGGAATAATGTTGAAAGAAATGAAAGAGTGTGCTATTTATCTAATAATAATCAAATTGGAGACGAATTTCATTACTTACTGGAATGTAATATATTATGTAATATTCGAAAAGTTTTTCTGTTAAAGAAATACTATCTACATCCAAATATTATACAATTCTGTAATTTAATGACAAATACTGATCCAGCATTCTTAAGAAATTGTGTATATATTTATCACCACTGACACTGTCTGTCCTCCTGTAATCTCGGCTTGTCCATAATTATTGTAAATATGTATATATGTACCTCTTGTACCATTCATATGGTTTTTGAGAAAATTAATAAATGAATGAATCAAATAATTCTTTTTTTTTAAAATTTTTCATTGTGTTCATAACACAATTATATGTCATTAGGTAAAATACAAATATACATGTAGCATGAAAAGGAAGATTTCATTAAGAAAGATGCAGTACTTACAAATTGTTCAAATATCGTAATTTAGATTCTGATAATTCTACTAAATCAGAAGTTTATACACTGTGTAAAGAGCGATAAATGAAGTTGTGGATATAAAAAATTAATAACTTTTACAAAAATTATAGAATTTATTATATACCTTCTTCTGGTTGAACTTTACAGTTGCCGTTATATGGTGGATAATTGGTTCGGATATCCATTGCGACAACGCTGAATCCCATTCGTGTTTCTGCTTTAGAGGACGCATTTAGTTTCAGGACATAGCGAATCCCTGACTCAAATGCATTTTCTTTAATTACCATCGTTGCTGTATCAAGGCCTGGACAAAACATGGATTAAAAAATTGAAATAAGCTAGTATTACTCGTGTTCTCTGTTCTTAATGGTGGCCAAATGTTAACATTTTACTGTAAATACCAATCCTTTTCAATAAAACTTATCTTGTCACCTGTGGCTGTTAAATCTGCAAAATTATCAACAATATCTTCCGTCCCACTCGTTACTTTTACGAGAGTCCAAGAGAATAGTAGAGTTTCATCGGCCGGACAGTCCAGACACTTGGCGTAAACATTCATCTTAGATGTTATAGCATATTTTTCCGCACAGTTAATACTGCAGCTGCATGAAAAATAGATATGTAAGTATCTAATAGACTATAAAGTGCATCTTTAACATTAAAGGTTTCAAACAGTGCATTTTATCATTGGAATTTCATTTTAAGTTATATTCAAATTATATTGAATTATACTTTTGAAATATATAATAAGTGACCTAAAATGTAACAAATAATATTTAGTAAGTTTTTATTTAATGTCCAATTGCATCAACTGGCATTAATGCAGCTCAAAAACTCTTCTTTCTTAGATGCTTTTGTGCTCTAATTAAACGCACAATTTGAAATTAAAAAATATCAATATTAAGCAAAGGCATAAAGACAAAAATATAATTAATTTTGCAATTCTAGTGAAGTATTTATATTCATCAGAGTTCAATTCGAAAAAAATGATGTAGTTCATAACATACCTGAATGTATTGAGATTGTTAGTCGTCTCAAAGAAGACCAAATAAATACCACAACATTAATTATTGACTACATAGATACAATCTTAAATAAAATTGCAAAATTATTCCTTTTTTATGTTTTTGCTTAGTAGTACCAACTTAATTTCAAAATTGTGCATTTAATTAGTTCAAAAAGCAGTATATTTAAAAAAAACTAAACATGATTTTGTTATCTTACATTAAAATGACATCAGGTGGATTTCCCTGTAGAATACTGAGAAACTGTGTAAAAGTGGAAAACTTTTGACCATCACTGACATTGACAGTTACTGCGTAACCCTTCGCTGTCGTTATGTCGAGTGTTCGCTTTCCTCTTTTATTTCCGGTCAAGGTACATAGGTTTTTGATTAGGGTTTTGTCGTTGAAAGAATCTTCTATTTCTTTAAAATCATCGGAAGGAAAGCTGACATTAAAAATGCAGGATATTAATATAATTTTGGAAGAAGGCTACACCAAGGATGAATATATGTCTTTTCATTATAAAAAGAAAAACACTATTTTAAAAATTATTTTTCTACACAAATGGAAAAACCTTCCTATCCAAATATACGTTGGTAAATTTATAAACATAAAATTCAGTTATATCTGTATATGAGGTGCCAAAGCAAAGGAACAAAAAAAATAAAATTAGGCTAAATCATATATGCATTAATCATTTATCTCCTCTCTACACGTATTTGTTGATAATTTCAAGCAGTGTTCTAAGAGATCAGTTCAATATGTACAACTTTGAGTACAACTCACGCTTCGCACTGAAAAGTGAATGTAAGATCCTGACTATTCCCGTATCCCTTAGCTCCATCATAGGATCCTGTTAATGCATCAATTTCAATCGTCTTTTCATTGACTTTTGCAGCTCTCTTTGAACTACCTATGATGAAAGCATACGGTGGTGGTTTTATGAACTCAATATACATATTTTCCTTAAGCCATGTTCCTTCTAGTGAAACGTTCAAAGTGATGTGATAGATTCCTGGTTGAATTTTTCCATGTTCAAAAACATTTGTACCTTGTAAAGGGTTCATAGGACTGACATAATTGAAAACAGTTTTTTTAGTTGCACCAAGACATCTAAAAATTTCCCACTGAAACCCTGCAGTTTTTCCTAAACATATAACTTGCATCCTGCTTGAAACAAATACATCTCTAGATGTGTATGCTTTCATGGGATGTTCATACAAAGCGTAGTTACGATCAAATATTCCATGATTTGAGAAACAAGGATTATGGACCTTTAGAGTCACAATATCAAGATTAAATTGTTCAGCATAATTTGAACAATTGAGTGTTAAATTATGCTTTCCCAAAGTTTTATACGTATACCTAATAAACATTGGTTCTGACGGAGTTATATTTGCTGTTTTTGAATGGACATTTTTATCAATAAGATCTCCCGACGTAAAAGAACATGTAATAAATGGAAAGGGTTGTACTGAAGTAATTGTAATGTCTACGTCACCAGGTGGTAGAAGGACTGTTCTATTAGGAACAGAAAGTGAAAATTTGTTTTGTATTACATAATCTACTTTTATTGGCTCCTCTAAGTACACTATTTCCGCCATGGTATCATTCTGTGCGATTACATTTGGCAGGAATGTTCCATAAGTCATATAAGTAATGTTGACTGTGTATGCATTGTTTTGCATTTTAACCTTTTTGCAGTCGGGATCGAACGTATTTGTGGCACTGTTCATTCCAACAGCAGACAACTGAAATGTCGTTTGAGAAATTATACCTGCTTGTCTATCCGCCGTAAATTGAACAATTCCCATCTGAATCCAGTAATGAAATGAATATTCTGTGTTTTCTATGGTATTTTTGAACGTAAAAACCATGGAATGGTTCTTCCTTTGAGTAAATTTGTGTGTTTTCAAAAAAAAACTTTGTAGACCTGATTCAATTACTCCATCGTCAAAGTTCCACTTCACAATAATATTTGTTGGCATTTTTGAACAATTTTTCAAAAATATGCGGAAATTGACATCCACTGGCAACGGTTTAGATATTGCATTATGTCTGTAAGTTGCATTTGGTTTGAATGACACTTTCGTCATATTCATCAGCTTAATTTTGTTTCCATAATCCACTATAAAATCGGACAATAAGAATGATTGAACAGTTATACTTGAAGACTTGTTCATAGAGCTTATATGATTAAAACAGGAAAATATAACACTGTACACTCCACTAGATACATATTTATGTGTTTTTACTATAGGTTTGTCTCTCAATATGTCTGAGGAAACATTGACCTCCTGATAGTCATCTCCAAAATTGAAAGTACAGAAGATGTCCGTTGGTGGCGGTCGAGGACTGTTGTAGCTCAGAGTGAAAATTTGAATTCCATCTGGTGTAGGTATCTCCTCCTCTGTTGGCGATAGCGTAAATTCATTTGGTAATATTGGATGTTCAACTTTGATGACCAGAGTTGCATACTGGATGTGGAATGGATTGAATATGCTTGCCCTCACGGTGTATATACTAGGTGAAATATAAGTTTTCTTCCAGGTAGTCACAAGTGAGAAAATCTTATAAAGATCACTAACAGTATTCTGTCTGATTGAACCATCGTCATAATCGATAAAATACTGAAAATTTGAATTTGGGGGATTGGAAAAGGAGAATGCTATTTCCTCGTTCACTTTTGCATAGAAGCTACTGCAGAGAAAGCTAACATTATCAAGTTTATCCCAAATGTAGACTTTCGTTGTGTATTGTTTTGAATCAACTTCTGTTTCAAGTGTCGCTTTCATGGTATAATTGCCTTGCTTATTATAGGTGTGATGAAACTGAAATCCATTTGTTTGCATTGATGTTAAGGTTGATTCACCATATACAGGATGTTTTTCAAGACTAGACCCATCATCATAATCTATGGTAATATTCATTTCTCCTTGAGGTTGCAAAGCCGACGGATCAAGGGTTAACTTGAATGATACTGATTGTCTTGTTTCAAGAAGAGTAACGGGAGCATCCAATGTCATTCCATGGATTCTATAAAGCGCTTTAGTCATCGTGTAGTTCATTTTCCGAGAAACAAAGTTAACAGCGACTACAGTGACATTGACGGGCCCTCCGACTGGAATTGTGAAATTGACTGTAACTGTTCTTTGGCCAACACCTTCGTGCATATAGATACATGAGGTGTTTGGGTTAAAATACCATTCAGTGACGATGTTGGAGCCATCCAAAGTAGCATTAAAGAAAGAGATTTCGTTCACAACCAAATGCGGAGAAACAAAAACCTAAAGGAAAACAGTTGAAAAAGAGAGTTCAATTAGACCATTTCTGAACATGATACGAGCCTCAATTGACAAATTATGTTGACATGTTTTATTGAAAATCTCAATTAACAAAGATATCTTAAATTTCATTGTTTTCTTATAATTGGTGTCGAACAAACCAATATATAATCTGATAATATAAAACATATATCCCTAGTCATCAAAAATTATATATTTGATACCTGAGTAGTGGTTATTGACTCTTCATAAGCTAATAACAAGATCTTGGAAACTGTATCAGAAAAATCGCCAATTTCCTGTGTGAGGTTCAAAATCATTTCATATGTTCCGTACTGAAGAGTATTCATAGATGAAGATGATATGGAAAACGTCACTGTTTTATTACTATCGACAATAGAAGCCGTTGTTGTGTCCAGCATTGTTTTAGATGTAATGGCTGCAGTTAATGAATAACTTCCAGAGGTTTCTCGTGTATCATATATTAAATTTACTGTTGATTGCCCACCGTTTGGTAACATGACAACATCGGAGCCCTCAGAAGCAACATCAAACGAAGTAATGCCAGCTATAAAAAAGGGGGTATTTAAAAAAAAAAATTCTTTCATGCTTTGAAATTTAAATCTGATGCTATTACGTATTTGAGTAATAAACTGTTGCATTTATCGTCAACTGCCCTATTTGGCTGACTAAAATCAGTGACCTTGTCTAGAGTTGTGTGTTGCTAGTTACGGTTGTTGTCTACCTCAGTAAGTTCATCGTAGTTTTGTACAAGTAAATGTAAATGTACAAGGCCTTTCTTGGACACATTTACCCAAGATATGCACGCCAGAAAAGTTAGCATGTTAAAGTCAACTCAACATCCTTAATATGAGTCCATTTTGCCCATACCCTATTCGATAAATACGTATAATGTACTAGTATGTGAACACTCCAAATTTCTACGTAATACCGATAAAAATCTCTCGATATTGCCTATTGTAGCTAATGACACGTGATATTTTCGGCTACTTCATATTTTTAAATAGATTCTTGTACGATGACGGGTCACCGAAATCTCAAAATCCAAATTTGTTATTCTTTGATACAGGAAAATATTTTGAAGCCGAACTTTGATGTTTAGGGAGAGAGTAAATTATTTTTATTACATGTATTTAAAATTAGGCGGTCGGTGTTTTCGTTACATATTTTATCGATGATTACCTGAGACACGTGAAATCTATTAAGGTAACCGAAATTAGCCAGTCAAAGATAAAATATATTAAGAAATCGATTAAAGCAAAAAGTTATCAACAATTTTAAAAAAATGAATAAATACGTAAAACTAATAAAGTTACACACAAACACACCAAATCAAACGAACAAAAAATGTAAATAAACAAGTTACTTACAAACTATATTGATAATGTAACAGTTAATAATGCAAGTGCACTGGTTGCAAACAGTAGATGTAATGTTGTAGACCCCGTAATCATGAAAAGTATGGGAAAACGGCTGAATGTTGTATGGCTCATTGAGGACCGTATCTGTGCCCTCTCTTAAAACTCCATTTCCAAAGTCAACAACATAGTCGAAATTATAGCTTGGTTTGTTTTTGAAGTCAAATACTACCGAAACGTTGTATTTTGAGTAATTGTCAAAGGTAAGTGAAGCATTAATTTTTTCACAGACGAGAATTTTACACGTAAGATTGAAATCGCCATCTTCAGTGAAAAAGCGACCCAAAACGGTAAAATTACCAGTAGCTGTATACCGCTTAGTGGATACGACTCCAGAATTTCGTAATTGCGAACTTGTAAGATTGACCGTATCACCGTCGCTGCCGTCCCCATATGTCAATGTTCGCTGAATAGGTCCTTGCAAGTTCGAGGAGGACAACATTTTAATAATAATGATTGCTTCCTCGTTAATCCAAAACAAAAAAGGACACTCTAGGCTAACTCCATGGGAAACATCAACAACGACAAACGTGGAAAAATTGGAGATTCCATTGACGGCAGTAAATGATACGTTAAATTCTCCGAGTTCTGTAAATGTCAGATCAATGCTGAATGATCGGGATCCATGTCCATGCAAATCATAAATACAAGAATGATTCGAGTCCCATGTCCATTCAAGAACTACGTTCGATCCGCTGGAAATTGAGGCTTCAATGATTCCTACTGTACTCACTAGAAATTTTGGAGAATTAGTTGTGATCTATAAAACAGATGAAAAAGAAATCAATTCCTACTAAAAGTTATATTATCAGTTGTTTAGTAAATGTGCTATCGTACGAACTATCTAGTTAATGTGTAACCTTTTGATGTACGACCTAATGTGTATGTGTAGTTTTAGCGCCATATTGAATAAACGTGTATTTGAACTCGGCGTTATATTTAACGAACCAAGCCATCCAAACATGGTGTCAGAAGTGTAGAAGTCGCCAGCATGCAGAAGTTCAACTCCCCAGAAAATGTCGTCTTCGCCAGGCCGAATGAATGGCCGGAATGGAAGCAGCGATTCACACCTTTTCAGACGAAGCTGAACGACGAGGATGAACAAATACAAATAAGTTCTCTTATTTACGCCATGGGACTGGAAGCAGAGGGAATATTTAAGTCCTTCGCATTCTCTAGTGGTGATGAGAAGAAGTTCAAGAAGGTTCTTGAAAGTTTTGACAAATAATTTGTTCCAAAGAAAAACGTGATTCATGAGCGCGCCAAATTCCACATCCGGAGCCAGCGCCAGGGAGAGTCAGTTGAAGAATTCGTCCGAAGTTTGTACGAGTTGGCGGCGCACTGTGATTTTAGAGATAAGAACGACCAAATTCGTGACAGGTTAGTTGTGGGCATTATCGACAAGGAACTAAGCGAGAAACTACAGCTTGAATCTGAACTTACACTCACAAAAGCTGTCGAGATGGCACGTAATTCAGAGTTAGTGAAACATCAGATTAAAGACTTACAATCTAAGAACTTGGATGCAGTGAGAGTTAGGCAGCAAAATGTCCAACACCTAAACACAATTACAGCAGACAGCCTAAAGCTAAGGAAAGAGTTTACAATAACTGTGACAATATGTAAAGTGTAATATGAAGCAGAATCCTGGAATCTGTCCAGCATCAGGGAAGAAATGTTTAAAGTGTGGGAAAAAAGGACACTTTAAGGTAGTTTGTCGAAGTAAACCCAAACACCTAGAGGAAGTTCAAGATGCATATTCATCATCTGATTCATTTTACATAGGTTCAATTGACCTAAGCGAGTCAGACAATACAGATGCGTGGACGGTAAAGCTGAAGGTGTGTCGAAAGTACATTACATTTAAGATTGATACTGCATGGTGCTGACACATCGGTGATAACCGAAGCGACATATAATTCATTGCCAGTAAAGCCCAAACTGCAGGCTTCAACAAATCAGTTGTACAGCTCAGGAGGGTCAGTAGAGTGTAAAGGGATGTTCGTTGCTAAGACTTTCCACAAGAACACTGAGTTTCATTTTCGAGTGTATGTGCTGAAGAACTCTAACCGTGGTTCTAATTTGCTCAGTCGAATGGTTGCACACAGTATGGGACTCGTGATAAAAATTGAGAAAATGCGGGATGTATTCGGTACACATGGATGCGTTAAGGGCCCACCTATCAAGATAACGCTTGAGCCCAGAGCCACTCCATATTGTGTCACAACAGCACGTAGGATTCCTTTTCCATTGATGCCGAAGGTCGAGGCAGAACTAAACCGAATGGAAAATGCTGGAATCATTGCGAAAGTCACAGAACCGAAAGATTGGTGTGCACCGATCGTGACAGCATTCAAGAAAAATGGGGATGTTCGTTTGTGTGTTGATCTTAAGAAACTGAATCAGGCAGTCAAGCGTGAACATTACATGTTGCCAAACTTGGATGACATTGCCCCGAAGTTGAGCAAGGTTACAGTCTTTTCAAAGCTTGATGCTTGTAGTGGTTTTCACCAGATACCTCTAGCTCCAGAGAGTTGTCACCTTACTACCTTCATAACTCCTTTTCCAAGGACGATACTGTTTCTAGCGATTACCTTTCGTAATAACGTCAGTCCCTGAAATATTTCAGCGTCGTATGTCCGAGATATTAGCAGATATCAATGGAGCGGATGCTATCATGGACGATATCATCGTATACGGAAGTACAGTGGAGGAGCATGACGAGCGTTTGGACCTTGTATTGGACCGTATTAAGGAAGTTGGTCTTAAACTTAACAAGAGCAAATGCGAGTTCAGAAAACAGAGCATCGAATACTTTGGACACTTGATTAGTTCAGATGGGATCAGCCCATGTCCAGAACGTGTGCGTGCAATACGTGATTTGGCTGCACCAACAAATGTGACTGAACTGAAGAGAATACTTGGAATGGTGAATTATCTTGGTCGATTTTTACCAAATCTTTCTACGGTCATGCACTCCCTTACTGACCTTTTGAAGAGTGACTCAGTATGAATATGGGAAAACCCTCAGGAAGAGGCATTTAAAAGGGTGAAGGATATGCTAACCGAAACACCTGCATTAGCCTTCTACAATTCATTAAAGCCAGTCGTGATTAGTGCAGATGCCAGCAGCTATGGCCTAGGAGCTGCCATATTTCAGCAGTTTGATGGTCAACTTAAACCTATCGCGTTTGCGTCGAGGACACTAGCACCGGCCGAAACCAAATATGCACAGATCGAGAAGGAGTGTTTAGCATCTGTAAGGGCCTGTGAGAAGTTCGAGCGCTACATCATTGGACTCGATTCGTTCAAACTCATCACTGATCACAAACCTCTCGTTTCGCTTATTAACACTCAAGCTCTAGACAGGACACCGGTGAGATGTCAAAGACTTTTGATGCGTTTACGCAGATTTAATCTAATAGCAGAACACATGCCAGGGTAAAATCTTGTGATTCCCAACACTCTTTCCAGGAGTCCGCTAACTGGAAATGCTGAGGATACAGAGGAGGAAGTCAATCTTTATGTAGACTGTGTTGTAAAGAATCTTCCGATATCTGATCAACGACTAGAGCACATTCGATTAGCAACAGCAGATGATCCAGAGTTGTCTGAAGTTTTGAAGAAGACTCAGAACTGGTGGCCAGACCATGAGAGATCACTAAAAGCAGAAATCCGACCATACTTTTCAGCACGATCCGAACTGTCTGTCTGGAATGGTATTCTAATGTACAGAGAACGAATTGTTATTCCGGAGGCTCTTAGACCAGAAACCTTGAAAGACATACATTCTGGACACTTAGGTCTGAACAAGTGCCGAGAACGCGCGCGAGGAGCTGTATGGTGGCCAGGAATTTCAACCGACATAGAGTGTACTGTTAAGTCCTGCAATACCGGTGTTGTTCATCAATCAAAACAGAACCGAGAACCGTTGAAGACCACATTCCTTCCAGATCGTCTATGGCAAACGATTGCTGCAGATCTGTGTGAGCTGAAGGGTAGACATTTCTTAGTAGTTACAGACTATTTTTCTCGTTACCTGGAAATTGCGTACCTGGATTCGTTGACTAGTGCTCACGTAATTGGAAAACTCAAGAATATATTAGCTCGTTGGGGTATATTCCAGAGGAATTGGTAACCGACAACGGCACGCAGTCCTCACTACCCACAAGCAAACGGCGAGGCTGATAGCGCTGTCAAGACCGCAAACTGTATATTACATCAGGATAACATCTTTGTTGCGCTTATGGTGTACTGTTCAACACCTATCTCGACAACAGGAGTCAGTCCAGCCGAACTCATCATGGGACGCAGAATTCGAACCGTTACCAAGTTTCAGTATGACAACTGATTTGGGGTAAGGAAACTCCATCCACTTGGATCAGGGGACCAAGTTCGTATTAAGACCGACAAAGAGAAACAGTGGACAGATAGCGGCACAATCACTAGTGCAAATTACAGAACTCGATCATACCTAGTGGAAACCGATCATGGAATATTGAGGAGAAATCGGAGACACTTGCAGCATACTGGATACGTGAATACAGAATCGCCACCTACCGTAAAGGTGCCGTATCCGCTAACTGACAGAAAACCAAGTGTTTTGTCTGCTGTTGAGCCACCCTCTGAGCCGCCTAGCCAGGAAGTTACATCACCTACCGTAAAGTCCAATACCATAACTCGTTCGGGTCGCCTCGTTCACAAACCCATAAGATTCAAAGACTACGAATGAATTTGTGAACTCTTTGTGTTATAATATTCTGATTTGCATGTAACAAGTAATGCATGCATGCAAGATGAGTTTTATTTGTAGCTTATGTTTCTATTCTAGTCAGTTGCCTTCAAATCCTAGTCATAAAGTTTCAGAGGGGAGATGTTTAGTAAATGTGCTATTGTACGAACTATCTAGTTAATGTGTAACCTTTTGATGTACGACCTAATGTGTATGTGTAGTTTTAGCGCCATATTGAATAAACATGTGTATTTGAACTCGGCATTATATTTAACGAACCAAGCCATCCAAACATCAGTGAAATATTTAAGAATTGTAAGAACTGTTTTCCGTTTTTAGCTCACCTGAGCCGAAGGCTCAAGTGAGCTTTGTCCGGCGTCCGTCTGTCTCACTTTTTGTCCGGCGTCCGTCTGTCTGTCTGTAAACTTTTAACATTTTCGACTTCTTCTCAAGAACCACTGGGCCAATTTCAACCAAACTTGCCACAAAGTATCCTTGGGTGAAGGGGATTCAAATTTATTCTAATGAAGGGCCATGCCCTCCTTCAAGGGGAGATAATAAAGAATTAGTGAAAAATTAATAGCATCTTTTAAAAATCTTCTCCTCAAGAACCACAGGGCCAGGAAAGATGAAACTCAAGTGGAAGCATCCTCAGGTAGCGTAGATACAAGTTTGTACAAATCATGATCCCCGAGGGTAGGGGATCCTCC